AGGAGGCAGCCAACAGCTGCTGATGGGGCTCAGGGCACCACGGCAGGTAGGGCATGTCCCCGAGGTGCTACTGGCCCCATGGAGGACCCTGTACACACACTCAGAGATGGCTCTGTGCCCTTGCCTTAGGAGAAAGACCGACTCACTACTTTTCTCTTGCAAAGTAATAACCTTTTTGTTATGTTTTATCCATTTCCCTTATATTATTAGTAGAATGGACTGCAGATTCCTTTTGTTTCTTTACTACCTTGATTCAGTGCTTCCCAACAGCGGCCCAGACACAGCCACCTCCAAAGCTCCAGAGCTCCTAGCATCAGCTTTCCTGCCTCCACCACATTACCCCACCAGCCCGTGGTTCAGACTAGCTGGGACAAGCCCTCGTGCTGCTGTGGTGCTGAAAAGGGAGCTTTGCCTCTCCTGCCATCACCCCTTCTCCCCTTGGCTGGGCGAGGATTATCTTTTGCAATGGCACCAGCCCATGGGAGGACGCCCAAGTCCTTGTGACAGTCCCTGCTGCTGCAGAGCTCCCCATCTCCCACCCCAGTCCCTTCCTGCTGTGGAAGGGTGGTCCCAGAGCACTCCCTGCACAGGACTCAGGAGCACAGCCTGTGCCTGTGCACGGGCACGAGGGATGATGTGAGGCTGCTGCTGCCCCTTTGGCACGGATCATTAGCAGAGGATTTTAGAACCACTTCTTCTGGCTGCAGAGTCACCCAGGCTGGCCCATCTCCAAAGCCCTGGGTGTTCATAGGGGACATCCCAGACCAGCAACTGCCCAGAGCTGATGCCTTCCCACTGCCTGGCACGGCCAAAACAGAAGGAAGTCCCTGCAGGAAGGAGTCACTCCAGCTCCTGGGTACCTGCACTGGGCAGAAGGCACCCCCACACTAAGGGGATGCCAACATCAGAGCCAAGACTAAGACCTCAAGCAACACCTTTTTTCTCTGCTCCACCACCAAATGAGGCAGGTGGGAGATGATTACTCAGAGACAGCTACAGATGTGCCCACCAAGCTCCCAGAGCCTTCCTCACCTGATAGTCAAGGTCACAGGCTTAGGGCATTCAGCCACATTGAAATGGAACTCTTCCTCGAACTCCCCCAGGGTGCTGGAACTGAAGAAGATCTGGATGGGCAGGATCCCATTGCGTGGAACGATGCCCTGCTGGGGCTGAAAGGTGAAGCAGGAGCCGTGGACTGTGGTTGAAGGGATGAGCTTGAAGGGAGCGTTGATAGCTCCTGTGTTAACCAGGATTGCCTACAGCAGGAAGAAAGCAAAATGGAAATACATGAGCAACCTTCCTTTCTTACAGAAGGCTGAGCTGCTTTCTAATAAATTATTAACCCCTGGAAAGGCAGAAGATGCTCTGTGCTGCTACGTGGCAGAAGCCAAAACAGGACAACAGGTGCCTTGAGTCTGAGGCTGGAACAGAAGCCTCTGAACACTTCAGCTTTTTGACCCAGTGTTGCTTTCATGTGTTGAGGGGCTGTTTTGCAGAAAGCATCCCAGCTGATCTCCAAGGGAGGTTGCCAAAAAGCAGGAATTGGGGTTTCGTGAACCACAGACAACACCTTTCAAATCCCGGAAAAGGATCCAGATTCTGTGAAATTCCCCAGATTTGACTAGTATGTCAAATATTCCCTGCTCACAACTGCCCAAGTTGCCAGAAATTCCACAGGTCCACCAGGCTCCCCTCTGCCCCAGGAGCCATCAGGATCTAGCCCAGCCCCTGCTGCTCACCTCGTAGCTGTAGGCTTCTCCAACCAAAACTCCCCCCATGTCCAGTTCCGCAAACTTGAAACGGAGGCAGGGCCCGAGGCCTTCCCCTGTGAGGTGCAGGGGCAGCCTGCTCTCACGGCCTGGGGAGAGATTTCCATTTCAGTAGAGTAATTCTTACTCTCTTATCCTGCTTTTTCCAGGCTGCCTCAATGCTAGTCCCGGACTCCGAGATGGGTGAGACCAGCTCCTGATGCTCCGGGGGAAGAGATGGTCCCTTCTCTTCCCTCAGGTGATATGCCTTGGGGCTGGCTTCCAATTTCTAACCCACCCCTTGGGCTTGTTTCCCATTTAGCCACCAGTTTGCACCCTGAAAAAGCAATACTGAGTTTAAAACATGATTTCCGTAGTGAAAGGAGTAATGTTCCGTAGGACAAGGAGTAATGGGGACAAATTGAAAGAGGGGAAATTTAGGTTAGATAAACAAAAGAAATTCTTCCCGGTGGGGGTGGTGAGACCCTGGCACAGGTTGCCCAGGGAAGTTGTGGCTGCCCCATCCCTTGCAGTGTTCAAGGCCAGGTTGGACAGGGCTTGGAGCAACCTGGGCTAGTGGAAGGTGTCTCTGCCCATGGCAGGGGGGCTTGGGACTAGATGATCTTTAAGGGCCATTCCAACCCCTTATCATTCTATGATTCTGATTTCCTTCCCACGCACTTGGAGGAGCTTTGAAATCCGTTCAGTGAAGGGACAAAGCTCGCAAAGAGTTGGGCATTGCTGCCTGGCTTCTAACTAAATTGGGGGGCAGTGGCCCTACAGCACAGGACTTTGTTGCCAAAGTCTTCAGCTTCTGCTGCTTTGTGACACTCAGCATCTTGTTGACAGAATGTCCCCGTGTTTGGTGACTGGCTTGGAACATGATTCTCATCTGACCATGTCAACAAACAGAGATGCACAGTTTCACACGATGCAGGACATCACAAGGAATGCCTTGGGAGCAACTTTTTAAATCCCTGCTTTCCTTCCACAGCTCTAACAATGGCAGTTGGTGGGCAGGAAGAGAGTTTGTTAGCATGAGCCCTGAGTAATTACTGTAGATGGCATTTGTTGAGTTATCCTTGCACAATTACTGTCTAAATAAAAAGCTGTTTCATGACACTTGTATCCATCAGCTTGGAGCAGGAAGGAAGGCAACAGAGTAGCTGGGTTAGGGATTGCAGTGCCCTCCAGAACGGGAGCCTGGCTGCTGGAGGACCATGGGCCTCCCACCTCTTTCTCGTAGATGGGCAAACCCAGAGTATTCCCTGGATGGAAACCTGACAGCCATCTCCCACTTTAAGGTGAAAAACACTAAGCAGCATCGTGCAGAGACAGAGAGGAAGGACAGGGGAACCTGAACCACACTGTGCTCTGCGAGTGTTCCCTGCCCTGTGTGGGCACAGCAAAGCCCCCACCTCTGTGAGGGGGTGACTTGGGGTGGGGGGGACAATGATACCTGCTCCCAGAAAAGGACTTGACAGCACTCCTGGAAGCTGAGCACAGCAAGCCCAGTGGCCACCACCTGGACACACCTCAGCCTGAGAGCCAGAAGGTGACAATTCCCACGCAGGGAGAGAAGGAGGTGCTGGCTAGGGGTGGTCCTTCTGCAGACAACCTGGGCTCAGCAGGGCTCAGCCACCTCTGGTCTGCTGTTGTCTGGGCAGTGGGAGGTGATCCGGGCTCAGGGAGCACATTTCTACCTCAGCTCCTACCGCCCGATGATGGATCCATGTAATGAGGAGCCATCCTGGAGGTCAGTGTTCTAGAGGGGCTTAGTGCCTGTGCCCTAAAGCTGTTCTGCTGTGTAGCTCTTTGGCCTTTGAGGAAATACTGGCAAACCCATGTCATGAAAGCTTAACCATGCACTGCTTGGATTGTTCTGGGATCAGTGTCCTGAGCCCTGGCCTTGCATGGGAGACCACCAGGAAGCCGCAAGGACGGTGCACATGAGCCAGCACTGCTCTGCTGACCGTGGACCCTTCCCAGCACTTCCATGGGAGCCCAGTGGGCTGGAAGAGTATTTGCACCTCCCCCTCACTGTGGGTGAGAGAAAGAGGAGAAGGAGCCATACCTGAGATGGAACAGTAGGCCACTTTTCTATAGTCTTGGGCATCTCGAGGTTTAAAGAACACCTTGATCTCAGCTGAAGAGTGTGGCCCAACCTCTCCCTCCTAAAACAGAAAGAAACAGCAAACGATTTACCTTCCAATATCATATTTCTTCTTTTCAACCTGTAAGCCTTTACTTAAGAGCAAGGAGTGAACAACACAAAGAGCCCGAGGAAACACTCCAAAACCAGCTCAACACACCACAGGATGCTCTTAATGCTCAGCTGATCAGCTCCCACTCTACAATATTCCTACTGCTCTGTACACAAGCTCTTGGTCACATTGTGCTGCTGTCAGCTACAGTGGTGTGAAACTGCTGTTGTGTTGACACTGGTGGCTCTTGGCCTTAGATGGGCTATAGGAGTAACCAAGAAGAGAACACGATCCCCTTCCTTGGAAAGAAAAAACTTAGTTCAACTTATTTTAAAAGAAAGCAGAGGCTGGGATTATTGTAGGGTTTACTCCAAGATGAGGAGGGATTTTGCACTGCGCAGACAGCGGGGATTCTTCATCTCACACTGTGCCAATACTCATACTCAGGGCTCTGGTTGATGGAAGGACATGGAGGTCTGCTTGCATAAACAGAAAAAGATTTTCTGTCCCTGCGTGCAACAGAACTCAAAAAGTTCATTTCAAAGTCTTGTGTTCAGGCTCCCAGATGACACTGGAAGGCAGACTCAGACATGCTGTAAGTCCTGGTTCCAGGGAGGGATTGGCATTTCCATGACCTTGGGCTGAATTTGGCCTCCTTTTCGCTTCAGGTCAGTCTGTGAACTGACAGTGCTCCAACACCCTCTGCTAAGCCCCACACATCACGTGTAAGCTGTGCCCCTTCCTGCGGTAACTGATCCCTCTGGACACTGCAAGGACACGCACCAAGCTCCCTTGACGTCGAGCCCTTGCAGCAGAGCTCAGCTTTAGGCAGGTTCCTGCTGCCTGCCAGGAGCCCACAGGGTAGCAATGCTTTTTGCAAGAAGCTCTCCAGCCTCACCAGGAACCTGATGTCTTCTCTCTGGGCACATCAAGCCAGCTGAGGTGGGGATCTGCCGAGTGAGCTCATTCAGGGAGGGGGAGGAGGTTCTCAGCTATCACTTACCAAGGGCTCAATGGTGAAAACATCATCTGAGAAGAGCATGGGGTCTGCTTCAATCTTTGCTCTCTCCTTCTTCAACTCGCGGTCGTAAAGCTCAAGCTCCTCGTAGCGCTTCTCTACGGAGAGCTTTGCTGTCTCCAGGGGCGGCCGAGACAGATTGCGAGACAGCCTGCAGCCACAGGGAGAAACAAAGGCAGCAGGTCATTTCATAAGCCACTTATTTGCAGAGCTGAGTGTAAGTGCAGAAGCAGCAAAGCGCTCAGGGAGGAGCAGCAGCAGCTCCCCAGCAAGGGGCTGAGCCCAAGCCACGGGGTCCCAAAGGGCTCAGAGGATCACTACTTGTTCACTCGCAGGGCAGGTGGTTTTTACTCCACGCTTACAAGCTCAGGAGAGGTTTTGAAAGCCAGCAGCCCTCAAGAGAACCTCCTGGCTCAGAGCCACTGCCAAAACTGAGGGAGAACCCACCAGTGACCTCAACTGACTCTTCCTACCACAGAGCTGCTTGGGGGAGGCAAATAAAGGTCAGGGAGCCCCCTAATTGCCTGCAGGGCCTCCCTGGGAAGGGGAGAAGAAGCTGGCTCTCAGCTGCAGGTTACCAGCATCACTCCTGGCTTCTTCCCTTTTGGACCTGCAGGGTCTGCCCTGTGTGCCCTGTTCCCTACACTGCCTTCCACCAGAGCATCCCAGAGCACTTTGAAAGCCAGTTGATGAATTCAGGCATGGCATCTCTTCAGTGACATTAAAGGTTTTATATGCATGAAAATAGAGGCCCTGAGAGGGAGACATCTAGTCTTGAACCACCTTCTTTTTTTCCTCCTTTTGGCTTTCTCTGCAGACCTTTGGCACAGTTAATCTCTCCGTTACTTGGTAGCTGCAGCAGAAATCATTCTAGTGTTTTAAGATCACAACCAAGAGATGAGAAAGGAACAGCTGCTTCCCAGCTGGCAGATCACTGTTCCCCCTCAGACTCCAGGTGGCAACTGGGGGGACAAGTAGAAGGCTCCATAGGGAGCAAATTGAGGCAGTGGAGTATAAACAGGACAGCATCCTCACCCAGCCAAATTCAAACACTGTTAGAAAGGAAGTACAGTCATGGATATTACCAGCTGCACACAGACAGAGCCTTGGGCAAACACTGTCACCGGCACCAAAAATACTGGCTATGGCTGGCTCCCTGCCCCAAAAATACTG